TCCTCCTCTTCTCTCTCTCTCTCTCTCTCCTCCTCTCTCTCTCTCCCTCTCTCTCGTTTTTTTGTTTTCTTTTGTTCTTCATTAGGTTTATTTCATTTATTCCAAGTAAACTCCCAGGACAGCTGATGATGTCAGACAATTCAGGGACATTTGCTCTTTTTACCTTCACCTCAAAAACTGAGGACGTGGGGAGAAGACACAGCAAGGGGGAGAGTAAGGCGGAGGGAGTGGAGCCTGGCTCCGGCTGCAAGTCCAAATTCCTGGCATGATGTTTGGCTTCGGGGCCCCAGACCGGAACCACAGGCGCCCGGCCCGGCCTCAGCAGATGCACGCGGCTGGCCTCAGGCCCAACGGAGCACGACTTACGTCTTACGGTCCCCACAGGGACAGCCAGGCCCCGTTCCTGAGAGGAGGCTTCGGACACTGGGGCAGAGCTGAGCTGGGGACTCCAGTGGGAACAGGGCACCCCTCCTGCACTGACTTCCAGAGAATGGTCCCCCTTCCCCCTGAGGACACCAGATTGGATGAGAGCGCGTTTGAGAGAAGAAAGCATCACCCGCCATCATTCCCCGCATCCTCGTCCCAGGAGGGAAAGGGCATTTTCTTTTTCACCTTTGAAAGGCGTTGTGGGTCTGTCTCTAAAGTGTTTACAAAAAAAAATTATAAAACAACAAAAAGTCTAGTGTCGACTGGTGTTTTCCCTCGTGATGTTTACTGGTTGCTCTCTGCTGCCCAGCTAGAACCCACTCAGTGACAGAAACGAACAGAGCCAGGTTCTCACCTCGCGCTTCCCAATGGCACCTAGCTTACGGCTGGTGCCCAGCAGCCTCTCTCTCACCAACTGCTCTGCCTTGGTTTTTTGTTTGATTTTTTTCCCCATTTTTCTGGCTTGGTTTTGCACTTTTCTCCCCTTGGGACCCTGATATCTTAACTTCATTGCCAAAAAAGCACCCACTGAGGACCTTCTCCACCTCATTTCCCATCTCTCCTACTGTATTCCCTCCTGGTTCTGGTCAGTTCAGAGGATTTAACAATCACAAGTGTCCTGCAGAAATGCCTGAACATTTTTCTTAAACCCTTGTGGATTTTTTTTCCCCAGAAAACTTAGACAAACAAAGGACTTATTAAAGGGATATGTACAGCTTCCCCTGTTTGCAGGCGCTCTGTTGGAGAACATTTTAGACACTGATGTTCACACATGGCATCAGCCCCTGCAAGATAGGTTTCTGTATTTATATATTAAAAAAAACCAAACAAACCCTTATAAAATGTTTAAAAAATGTTCAAAGCTGGGGGGAAAAGCTTTCTTCATTAGTCAAGGTGTTTTGATATGGTATTAAAATAATGTCTAATAAAAGATTCACTGTGTGGCTTTATTTTAGTCAAGTATCGTTACACAATCAAGAAGTGGGCATTGAAGGTGTGGGTGTGGCCCCCACTCCCTTGCCTACCTCCTTAGCCTTGCTTCAGGCTGGCACTCAGGGCCACAGGTGTGTGGCATGATTCTTAGCAGTCACACCTAGGTGAGGGAATGTGGCCGGTCAGGCAGGAGTCCTGCAGGTTTAGGAACTCACTCAAGCCTCATGGAATCCATCTGCCATCACCTGTAGAGTGGTGGTAACACAACTCTTCTGAAAAGATCTGTGGGGCAAAAATCTTGCAGCCATTGGAGGGCACAAGGATGCAGGTTCTCCCAGGCATTGGCTCAGACCACCCACTCCTGCAAACCTTGGCTCCGCATCCCATGCCCTGCCCCGCCTGTTGCTATGGCCACGTCTTAGTGCTGACTCATGGGCATGCTTCATTGAAGCCCAGAAAGAGGCCCTGGTTTGGAGCTACGCCAGCTCAGAGCCCTTGAATTAGAACCAGCCACTTAGGGCTCACAAGACTTGGCACATCTGGGGCTGGGCGGGAAGCTCAGGGCAAGGGGTAGCAGTGCGTGCCTGGCCTCTGTCTCTGTGCCAGACAGGCTCCCAGAGAGGCATTCCAGAGCCTCCTGCAGAGCCTGCGACAGACGGCTCTGGAGGGAGTCGCTGCTCTGCCCTGCTCCCTCTCAGGCCTGTGTGCTGCGTCTGTGGAATCTAACCCACCAGGCCCTTCTGTCACACGCTTCCTGAAGCACCTGCTCTGTGCAAGGGCCTTGTAGGCTGGTGGGCAGATGTGAGCCCAGGCACGGGCCTGCTTGGCATTTCAGAGAAACACTCAAGAGGAGTTTGTGAGTCTACACTTGTTGGGTGGAGACCCAAGGACCCACATTCGCCGTGGTGGCAGGAACCTGGGCTCCAAACTGTCAGCAGGCGGGCTCCTCTGGCAGAACAATGTTGGGGAAACAACTTCGTTCATCTGGATGTCTGATGCCCCGCACGTGAAGTGGGAACAAGGTCACACATCTCAGAGGTCACCATGAGGGTCAGAGAATCTGCCCCGAAGTCCCTGGCACATGCACAGCAGGCTCGCACGTGACATTGTCACTGTAAAGAGCACTGTTCTATTCACAGCACCTCCTGCTTCTGCCTGGCAACTGTGTCTCCCTGTTCTATATTTAATTCCTCCTGCAAAGCTGGCCCTGAAGATCTCCTTGCCTGACCCCTGGGCCTGCAGGCGGAGGAGGCTTGTGTGCCCACCTCAGTGGCTTAGGCCCGGTAGCCTTGGCAACGCCCTGGGTGAGCTGAGTGGTCCTGAACTGGGTTGCGCAAGGCTGGAGCCCACTCTGGGGGCTATTCCAGGCTCCGGGGCTGATGCTTACGCCACTGCCAGCAACATCACTCCCACCTGGCATGCTGCTGCTGTGTCCTCTTGATTCAGACCCAGGTTTCCCCTCCTGGGTCGGGGTGGGATGGGGCTGTTGGGCCTTCCAGAGGGAACTGGTATCTGTCATCCTCATGCAAACGAACTCTCCTGAGCTCTACTTTTCTGGGAGGGAAGGGAGTTGTCTGGAACTAGGAGGTGGGTTCCACCCACTCCCTCTGCTAAGGGCCCAGCACAATTTGAGAGGGGCTTTCTGGACAGGAGCATCTCACTAAAACCACTCCTTTAGTAGCCATTTAATGGTGTTGAGGTTTTTAGGAGAGTATCCTTATTCTTAGGAGATAGCTACTGAAGTATATAGGCGAATGATGTCAAAAAAATTTGTAACTCAGTTCCCCAAAAAATACACAAAGCAAGTAAGGCAAAAATATTCATTGTTGAATCATCAGTGGCTGGTATTTCAGTGAACGGTGGACTTGTTCTTCCAACTCTCCTGTATGTTTTGAATTTTTCTTAATAAAGAATTGCAGGGCAGTGGTCATTTGCTGAGCACCTACTAGTTGCCAGACATTGAGGGGTACATCAAAGAGCCCTGCCCAGGAAGGGAGAAACCTGCCAAGAAGAATGCTGCCCCAGGAGGGCTGCGGGTGGCACCTGGGTGGAGGGGAGGGCACGGGTGAGCTGTGTCTCCAAGACTGCATGTGGCTGATGGTTAGATTGGGTGGTTCGGGGGGAGGGCCTGGGAGATTTGCCCCACACTACCCACTGCACAGCTACTGCTGCCATCCAAGGGACAGAGACGTCACAGAGGAGCTTAGTGTTTGCACAGATGGGTTCGGGGAATGTGGAGATGGAAGATGCCTCTGGCTCCCCAGCAACCCTCACTCAGCCCCTTTCCTAAGGGCCAAGGTCAGAGAGTGAGGGAGACGGGCCTGCGCTATAGGGTCCTGGGACCTGTAGCGGGTAGAGAGTTTAGAGACTGGTTTCCAGGACGCCAGGCACCTCCTAGACCCTGAGAAGTAGGGGGCCCAGGACTGAGAGCTGTAGGCCCGTGCAGAGGTGAGTGCTGGGCACCGCTGCCCAGGCAGTCTGTGCTATCTGAGCTTTGTGGTGTCGGGTGCCCTCTTGCGGGCTTAGAGGGGAACAACTGCCAGGTGCCCCAGACGAGGTGCTCTGGACAGGTGTTGAGGGCAAAAAAGCTGGTTGTGTAATACATCACGCCATGGAGAGGTGTGGTACCAGGAGAATCACTTCCATTGCCAGTGATTGGTAGCAGCCACTTGAAGGATCCCCCAGGCTGTGTCACTCACTCCTCCCAGCAATGGGGAGGCCGAGACAGAGGGGAGTCATCCTAAGAGGGGAGTATCTCCCAGCCAGGACAGGACGTGTGCAAGAGCAGTGAAGCTGGGAATGACCCTGAGTCATTTACTGGACCCAAGGCTCCTGAGGACAGCAAGTGGGCCTGGGAGGAGCTGGCCTTCCAGACTTCTCTCCTCCCTCTGGCCTCTCCAAGTAAAAGGGCTGCTTGGGCAGGCGAAGGCCCCCACAGGGTTTGGGCAAAGGCAGAACTGTTATGTGGTGTAAAAAGAGCTTCCTGAACAGGAGATGCCACTGTCTGAGGGCCTGGGGGCCAGGTGCTCAGAGCTCCTCACAGCACCTTGCCTGGGTTCATGAGGCCTCGGGGATCCAGCATGGCCTTGAGCTGCCGCATGGTCTCCATGCCCACGGCGCCCACCTCTTCCTGCAGCAGCTGCCGCTTGCCCAGCCCAATGCCATGTTCCCCGGTACACGTCCCATGGAGTGCCAGTGCCCGCCTGGAAGGCAGCAGGGAGAGGTCCTCAGCGGGCGCCCCTCCTACTCCCCCCACCTCCCTGCCGGCTTGCCTCCTTCCTCCCCTGCTCTTACCTGCCCAGCTGTTCTGCAAAGGCCTTGACCCTGAGGAGCTCCTCAGGGTCCTCAGGGTCTACCAGCAGGATGCAGTGGAAATTGCCGTCACCCACATGCCCAGTGATGGTTCCTGAGGGCCCAGAGAACAGAGCTGCTGCCCCCAGCCCCACCCTCCACCCTCCCCTTCCCCACCACTCCCTGCAACAGGTAGGCAGAACCTGTGAGTCCTGAGGCCTTCAGGTCTTCCTTGGTCTGCACCAGGATCTCCGGCAGCCGTGAGATGGGCACACACACATCAGTGGAATAGCCCTGAGTCGAGGCAGGCCTGTGAGGTTCCCTCCCTCACCCCTGCCTGCCCAGAGGTAAGAGGTCACTGGGATCAAGGCTAAAAATGGGTTTAGGGGGCTCAACTCACATGAACATACCTGCTCTTCTCTAGGCCTGTTTCCCCTAGGCAACAAGGTGATTAGCCCAGGTGTGTTCCCCAGGCCCTGCCGGCAGAGGCTCCCACAGCTCTTGCCCTGCTCCCCCCGACACTGGGAGCTACATACAGATGCCCCAGTGCCTGCTGCTTGGAGCCCAGTCTCCCCTTCCTGCTGGCTACCAGCTTCGCTTCACCATATTCCTCCAGGAAGCCTTCCCTCTGCGTTCAAACTCCTATGAGCATTGCCCTGTCCTTGCCCTGGCTCAAGGCAGGAGCTGCCTCCCTAGGGTTTGGCCGACACTGTGCTTTCCCTCTGGGCAGTATCCAAGAAACAGCTGGGTGAAGCCAGTCCTGTCCACTGGGGCCCTCAACCTGCTGCCCTGGACAATAGGATAATGGGCTAAGGAAAGGCTCCCACATCCAGCCCACTCTGCTCACCTTGCAGCCGGGCCGCAGGGACAGGGCTGCGTACCAGGCATTGTGCCGTGCCACCCAGAGCCGGCTGCGCTCCTCAGCATTCTTGGCCCAGGAGAAGTGGGAGGCTCCATTGTGCTGGGTGATCTCCTCTGCGGGAGGGCAGGGGGTTGACACTGGGCCCTACTTTGGGGCAGCCCATGCCCCCTGCCTCGCAGCACCCCAGCACACCTGTGCGTTGCACTTGCTCTGCCAGTGCCTGCTCGGAGCCGTGGAACTCCAGGAAGAGAGTGGGCGCCACGCAGCAGTTCAGCTTGCTGTACCTGTTGCAGGCATCCATCATGACATCATCCAGGAACTCTGGGAGCACAGAGAGGCCTGGCGAGGTGAGGCCTGGCTTTCAAAGGAGGCTTCCTCTGGGGAGCCCACCAGGACTGCCCCAGTCTCTGGCTCACCAATGCGGGCCACAGGCACTGCAGCCTGGAGGATGTGTATGGTGCTGTCCACGGCCGCCTGGATGCTGGGGAAAGCACAGGTGGCAGCCACCATGGCTTCTGGGGCAGGATGCAGGCGAAGGGTGGCAGCTGTAATGAGGCCCAGCGTCCCCTCGGAGCCCACAAAGAGCCCCGTGAGGTTGTAGCCAGCAGCGCTCTTCCTAGGCCCCAGAGATACAAGGTAGGTGAGTGCCCAGGCCACAAGATGATGGATTTCTGGTCAGAAGCCAAGTGGGGAGCTGAGACCAAGGTCTGGGCTGGCCCCCTCGGCACAGACTGCCCCCAAGGCCACCACTCCCTGGCACAGCCCCAGTGGGCCTCATGCAGAAGGAACAAACCCCAGGACCACCAGCTTTGGTCCACATGAGTTCCATAACCTCTCTCCCAGTGAGCCCCCATTGCCGCGGGTAGAGGACACAGTGCACACCGGAAGTAACGGCCGGGCCCCGCAGTGTGAAGCAGCCGCCCATCTGGCAGCACCACCTCCAGGTTCAGCACGTTGTCCCGCATGGTGCCATAGCGCACAGCGTTGGTGCCCGAGGCCCCCGTGGCCACCATGCCGCAGAGAGAGGCATCTGCACCAGGGTCTGGAGGGCAGAGGGCAGGCAGGAGGCAGTCTAGGGCAGGCACTAGGTGGGGCAAAGGGGTCCCCCTGGCCCCAGAAACAGCCCTGCTACCAGGGAGCCCTCAGGGCTTGGGAAGGGTCTCATGCCCCGGCCTACCCACAGGGAACCAGAGCCCACTGTCCCGCAGGTGGGCGTTGAGAGCTTTGCGCGTGACACCTGGCTCCACCACCGCAGAGAAGTCGTCTGGATTCAGCTCCAGGATCCGGTCCATGTGGGTCAAGTTGATGCAGACACCGCCCTAGTGGGAAGGGTGCAAGGTGCCACTAACCTAGGCCTCCTACCAGGACACAGCCCCCAGGACCTCACCTCATGGCCAACCTCCCAGGAGCCAGACCAGAGCCCCGGGATGGCAGGTAAGGTGGCCAACCAGGATGTGTGCAGTGGAAGAGGCAACCGCCAATGTGCCAAATGTGATGGGCCCAGGGCCTGACCAGAGGGGGAGAGCCACCACACGTACCTGCACGGCACATACTCCACCCTCGACCCCTGTGCCTGTGCCAAATGGGATGATGGGCACGCCATGGCCATAGCAGAGGGCTGCCAGCTGGCTGACCTGCTCCACATTCTGGGGCCACACCACAGCATCCGGAGGTTGGCACCTAGAACCAGACCCTCAGTAATTTAGGGGCATGTGGTACCCTCTGGAGGTGTTGCAGGGCCTGAGACTGCACACTAGGCAAGGGGCAGAGAACCCTCTTCTGGATGAGTGTAGAGGAGAGGTGGGGAACGCCAGAGAAGCCAGCACCCCAACTCCCAGCCGGGGGCTGTAGTAGGGGAGGGCCCCCACCTGTGCATCGACTCATCGTGCCCGTGCTGCTCTCGGACTGCAGCCGCAGTAGACACATGGGGGCTCCCCACAAGCGCCTTCAGGGCCTCCACAAAGCCCTGGCTGAGCTTGCCCTGCAAGGGAGAAGCACATTGGCAAGGTCACTCAAAGGCACGGGGGCCACGGCCTGCCCTGTGTCAGGTGGGAGGGGTAGGAGACAGAGAGGGGCTTCCATTGTCTGTGAACAGAGGCACCCACATCCCACCCCCCTCGGCAGGGGGCTCATGGGGCTCTTGGAGCCCTTCTGGGGATTTCTTCTCATTTTACAGATGGGGAAAGAGGCCAGCAAGTCTAGGATAGTGCTTGGCCTAGAACCCAGCTCCTTGCCTCCCAGTTATTCTTTCAAACGTGTGTGTTTCCCAGAGCCCCAGAGGGGCACCTGGAGTCCACAAACTGTTCAGTGAACATCCTCCAGCCCCACTCGTGGCAGTTGTGGGGGCCTTGGCCCATCTCACTCAACACTTTCACTTGACACAGGGGGAGCCCAGTGATCCTCTGCTCAAGGTCGCCTGGTGCTGGGGCAGCACAGAGCCTGGCAGGAACTCAGCATGGGCCCCCCACCCTCCAAGGGGTTCCCCTTCTCCCACCTACCTGTGTTCCCCAGGAGCAGTAGCCCTTCCTGGGGAACAGCCGCCAGATTGCACCCCGGAGCAGGCTGGCCATCACTGGACAGCAGATGGCTGCTGCCCCAGCCTATTGGTTGTGCGGGGTGGGTCAGGGCTCCTTAAGGTGGCACAGCCTTAAGGTGGCCTTGCCAGCCCTCGCTGATTCAGGAGGCTTATTTTCTGAAAGGCTTCCTGAACATAAAGGGAAACAGGACAGTGGCTGCTCCCTGGTTTAAAAGTATGTGAAGGCTTCCCATGGTCCTTCAAACTCCTTGTGGTGGCCCTGAAAGTCCTGTCAGTACCTGTTGACCTCCCCAACTGCTACACTTCCTTCCAGTCTCCTTTTGGGCCTCTTAGCTCCAGCTTCCCTTTCTGCTCCTGAATCCCCAGCTCCAACCAGGCTCACACCCTTTACCTTTCTCACCCTGCAGGAATAGAGCAGCCTTGATTGGGGCTATGAAGAGGGAAGCACATGGAAGCTCTTGGAGGATGAGATGGGGTAGGGCAGTGAGGCAAGCTAGAAAGACTTCCTGAAAGAGGAGTGCTGAGGATGAGCAGCAACAACCCAGATAAATGAAGAAAAAGACTGTTCCATCCCTTTATCTCCACCCTCCCACGGGGCAGATCCCAGGATCACGCCACAGATGTGGATGTTGCTCTTGAGATTATCCCAAGCTCCGTTTTCTTCCCACAACAATTTGAAGAAGCACGCTGTTAACATTACTGAGATAAAGCTATTCCTAGTTTTGTTTTTCTTCCCAACTGAGCCAAGAACACAGACTCTACTTGAGTCCTTCTCCTCAACCACATTTGAATTGGTTCACATTTCCACTCTCAGTGTTTCGCTTAACTGGCTAATCTCAAAAATCGTCTCTTTTACAGTTGGTTAGTTCAAATCCAGATCCAGGGAGAGTCCACATAATGCATTTGGTTAATATCTCTCATAAACCTCTTAATCTACAATAGTTTTCCTCTCCCTCTTTTTTCTAAACCATTTATTTGTTAAAGAAACTGAGTCACTTGCTCTGCAAAATGTTCCACATTTTTATTTGGATGATTGCACCCTTGTGGTATTATTTAATATTTTTCTCTAACCTCTGTATTTCTTAAAAACTGTTAGATCTAGATGCAGTGCTGCCCAGTACAACTTTCTGCAGTGGTGGAAATGTTCTGTATCTGTGCTTCCCAATATGGTAGCTCTTAGCTACATGTAGCTGATGATACTAGAGGTATCCATGGATGTGGGAGAGATGCGAGGTAGGGTTTTGTGGAAAAAACTAAAAAGAACAACCATATAGATCCCTAAGCTTCCAGAGTAGGTTCATGACATCTGCAACAGAGAACTATACACTATTCAAAAAAATTGCCCCAACCTACTACTGGGTCCTGGTTAAGATATCAAAGTGACTGTGTGACCAGAGCTGGCCATCATGAGCTGTGTTCTATCAGACCCACTAAGTCATAAAACCAGGCGGGTCCAAAACAATCCATTACTAAACAAAAAGGGTACAAACAAAACTGGGCACAAGAAGGGCCAGAGGGCAAAATGAGCTGCATGAGTAGGTGGCCCAGACCCCCATGTCACCCACCATTGCTTAGCTAGCATCTCTCCCTCAGCTCACATCTCCAACCATGTGGGGGAACTCTTATGACCAGCTGATGGAGGAGGGAAAAGTTCAAGCTTGCTTCATGAATGGATTGGCTGAATATGAGGGGGGAAGCTGAAAGTGACTGCTGCTGCATTACAGCCCCACTTGGGGGAGGTAACTCTGAGGTCCTCCCAATTGACAGAGCACCAGGTCATGCACCTGGTATTCCACAGGGAGTGGTAAATGACTTGGCTAGTTGGTTGGTCAAGGGCCTATGGAGAGACTGAAAAATCAGGATCAAGGAGGTTTGGAGAAGAGGCATGTAGATGTGGAAACAACCTAAATGTCCATCAACAGATGACTGGATAAAGATGTTGTAGTATATATATGCAGTGAAATACTACTCAGCCATAAAAAGAATAGAATAATGCCACTTGCAGCAACATGGATGGACCTGGAGATAGTCATTCTAAGTGAAGAAAACCAGAAAGAGAAAGGAAAAAACCATATGATATCACTTATATGTGGAATCTTTAAAAAGTGACACAAATGAACTTATTTACAAAACAGAAGCAGACTCGTAGACATAGAAAACAAACTTAAGTTTCCCAGAGGGGAAAGGGGGTGAGAAGGGATAAATCGGGAGTTCAAGATTTGCAGATACTAACTACTATATATAAAATAGATAAACAATTTCATACTGTATAGCACAGGAAACTATGTTCAATATCTTGTGGTAACCTACAACGAAAAAGAATATGAAAGGGAATATATGTATGTCTATGTATGACTGGGCTGTACACCAGAAATTGACACACCGTTGTAAACTGACTATACTTCAAAACAAAAAAATTCTTTTAATTATTAAAAAAAGAGGCATGTAGATGGATCTAGAGGAGTAGGTACAAGGTGAGATCTCTATAGCACATGTATCACATGGGAGCATTTACCATGTAAGAGACTAAACAAAGTAGACAGATGATTCAGCCAGCTGTTATTAACCAACCAATGTCAGTGACCACCCCAGTGGGGGCACAATGGTTAGTAGGAAAGAGACTAATGATGGGCCCACCAGCCTGGACCTCCATTCACTAAGGCCGACCCAGCTAACAGCACTGCAGCAACACTGAATCTCCCTAACTTGGCACCGTTCCTCAGGGACACCAGCTGGCCACTGGGTAACAAGTTGATCACATCAGACCCCTTCCACTCTGGAAGGGGAACAATTTACCTTGACTGAAATCAACACAATACATATTATGAGTATGGGTTTGCCTCTCCTACCTGCACGGCCCCAGCCAGCACCAGTGTCTGAAGCCTCACAGAGTGTTTGACCGACCAACATGGTATATCACATACCGTCACCTCAGGCCAAGCGACCCACTTTTTAGCAAAGGAGGTGCAGTAATGGGCAGGTGACCATAGGATCCACTAATCCTAATGTATATACCTCACCACCCAGAGGCTGCCAACCTGACCGAGCAATAGAAGGAATGGCCTTTGGAACGTACAGCTGACATTCCAGCTGAGACGCATCAACTTAACCAAAGTGCCTGCCAGGGGAGGAAGATACTTCCACATGACTAACGGATAAAGGGTGAGTATCCAAATTATTTTCCCTTTTCTATTTTGAAATAATTTTAGACTTACAGAAAAGTTGCCAAAATAGTACAGGGAGTTCCTATATACCCTTCGCTTAGTTTTCATTAATGTTTACATTGTATGTAACTGCAGTATAATTACCAAAACTGAGAATGAGTAAAACACCAATTGGTACAGTCAGAGAATTGGCACAATACTAAACTACAAACTTGATTTCACCAGTTTTTCCACTAATGTCCTCTTGTTTAGTGGGTGCCTGTTTGGTCCAGGATCTAACCCATCAGTCCACACAGCATTTGGCTGTCCTTGCCTCCTACAATCTGTGACACTTCTCAGTCTGTCCTTGTGTTTCTGACTCTGACATTTTGAAGAATATGGGCCAGGTATTTACTTGAACGTTCCTTGGTCTGGATTTTCTGATGTTCTTTCAAGAGTAGATGTGCTTTGGGGCAACGATACCACAGAAATGATGTTCCCTTCTCAGTATATATCATATAAGCAGTGTAAGGTGGCAGTGCATCTTGTTATGGATGATGTTAACCTTGCTCAATTTGGTCAGGCCGTGTTTGTCGGGTTTCTGCACTGTGAAGTTACTATTTTTTCCTTTGTAATTAATAAATATATCACGGTAGAAACTTTAAGGCTGCAAATATCCACTTTTGCTTCGCGTTCACCCATTATTTTTAGCATCCATTGTTGGATCTTGCCTGCATTCGTTGTTATTGTGGTGTTCTAATGGTGATTTTCTATTTCTCTTATTTCTTCTACATTATTTGTTAGAATTATTTTCTAAGGAAGAGCCATTTCTTCTGCCTCAGTTACATATTTACTCAATTATTTGTACACTTTCAATATATATAAACTTGTGGATACTTGTTTATTCCATAGGTTATAATCTAATACAATCATTATTTATTTTGTTGCTCAAATTGCTCCAGCTTTGGTCACTAGGAGCCTCTGTCATATAGGCTTGTCTGCCCTTTAGACTGGCCCTTACCTTTTTGAACACTGTCTTACTTTCTAGCATCAAAAGATGCTCCAGGTTCATTCTTGTCTTTTCCCAGCCCAGACCAGTAATCAACCACTTTTCCAAGGAGTTCTGGTCCTTTCAGTCAGGAGTAGCTTTTAGAAACTGAGACTTGGATGATAGATGTGCTCTTAAAACTCAACAATAGGCGTGGGTACAGCTCGGTGGTAGAGTGTGTGCTTAGCATACATGAGGTCCTGGGTTCAATCCCCAGTACCTCTACTAAAAATAAATAAACAAATAAATAAGTAAACCTAATTACCTCCCCCCAAAATTAAAAAAAAATAACAAACAACTGGTTTTAAAATGGGCAAAAGATCTGAACAGACACTTCACCAAAAAAGATATACAGATGGCAAATAAGCATATGAAAAGATGCTCAATATCATATGTCATCACGGAATTGGAAGTTAAAACAAAACAAGATGACACTACACACCTATGATGATGACTAAAATTTAAAAAACTAACACCATCCAATACTGATGAAGACAGAGAGTAACAGGAATTCTCATTCATTGCTGATGAGAATGCAAAATGGTACAGTCACTTTGAGAGACAACCTGGCAGTTTCCTACAAAGCTAAACATAATCCAGCTACGTGATCTAGCAGTCATGTTCCTAGGTACTTACCCAGGTGAGTTGAAAGCTTCTGTCTGTACGAAAGTCTGCACACAAAATATTTATTGCAGCTTTCATAATCTCCAAAAACTAAAATGTCAACAACCAAACAACCAAAATGTCCATCCAAAGGTAAATGGGTAAACCCACTACAGTCCATTCATACAATGGAATATCTGTCAGCTATAAAAGGAAATGAACTATCAAGTCACAAAAAGACACAGAAGAACCTTAAATACACATAGC